CGTCTCTCGTTAGTCCGTCTTCAATGTTGGAAGGCATCAAATTAAATAAACGACTAAATCTGCCGAAGTGGTGGCGGGAGTAAGCTTATTCTGACTTTCTGCTGGATTACCAGATGAACAAAAACTCAGAGAACCCTATAGTTTAAGACAGTGCACATAGTATTGGGATATATATTTAATTTAGAAAGTCTAGTCCAAAATTCTCTTCGTACAATATTAAGTCGCGTCACTTATGGTTGCTATTTATGAGGGGACAAAATAAATGAAATCCAATATGGTCAAAGTATGTTTGTTCGTTTTGAATTTCGAGAAATCATATCTCATATCTTTGACATTTTCACAACCTTTAGTAAAACCAAAATAAGGTCTAGATATAAACCAAATATGCGGATACGTTACTAAAGAATTCGGTTAGTAGTTTAATGTTTATTTCTCCTGTCCATATCGCATCAAACAGAATCTGATAAAAGCTAGGTAAATACTTGTTAATGCCACTGTATCTTTTCCCCACGCCTGCTAACTTGGCCATTTACTTGATAGGAAATTTGTTTACTTGAAAATAGATGATTGCGATTCTCACTCTCATGAGAATAAATTTACGAAATTTTCAGTTCAATTTACATTTTTTTTTTATTTCTGTATTGAATGAAAATCAGCGAAGATATATCGGAAGTAATAATAAATTAACGCAAGTTATTAAGCATCTTATTACACCTAGATAATTTAATATGCAATAATTAGCAAAAATCTGCGCCAATGTTTTAAATCATTGAAGCAGAATTAAATTGAAAATTTTAAAGCATTAAAATGCCAATGACTTATTTATGGTCACTGCACAACCTACATCTTGCGAATCAAATGTTTAGTCGGGAACGAAACAAATGTTTTCCTCTTGGAAGTTTATCTTGAATTGCTGTAATTCGATTCTTAACCATACACCTGCTTTCCGTGATATCTTACAAACACAACAATAATTTATTGAGCTATGAAATACGACACCATAATAATCTCTCATCTCTCATGACTCATTGACGAGCCTGGTAACTTTACTTCGGAACAGAGAATAGCGATATTCCTGCATGGAGCAACACATCAAACCAAATCTTTAAACAATAAAACACGTTCTTCTTAAACAAAACAAAAAGAATCTTTATTATAGGTGATATATTTAGTTATTGAATAACTCAATGCAAAGATAAATTTATGAAACGTAAAACAAGCCACTGTTGTAGGCTACGGTATCATTAATGCATCATCAAAATTCAAACAGAATACTAATTCACGAAATATAAAGTAAAAATATATTAATTGTTTCTAATGCTTTTCAAAAATATGTTACGTGAGCTTTTTAGTATATAAAACAAAATGGCGTGTCATTTATGATCAGAATATACGTAATAGTTCATTAATGATTTGGTACTTCATAACAAGGGCGTATCTTAATTAACTAACAACAAATAGTCTTGAATAATCAAGATCCAAAATAGATATGTTGTCAGATTATTTATTTATGATTAATGTAAAGAATTAATAAAATGCCGTAGAGATTAAGTTATTTTTATAACAACGTACATTCCGTGTAATATTTCTGATCCATAACAAGTCAAAATTTCAATAAAAAAATGTAATAATCTTGTTTTACGTAAATTTTGTGACTCAAATCTCGGTGAAATCAGAAAATGGCGCAGACAGATAAAAAACTAGCAACTGGTATACTGACGGATTATATGATCCCCAATGACATTTTAATCCCGCCTTGTTATAGGTGTCCTTTGTTTGTACTATCTACCTAAATATCATTGTCAATATTTTACAATCATTAACAAAAATTCAAAGCGGGAAACACATTGCTTTAATTTTTTTTAATTTTTATTTACAAAATTTTTGAATGATACTTAAGATCATGGAATTAATTTGACCAACTTTATACATTTGATTAACTCTATACATTTTCAACTCATTAAATATATAAAACAAGACAGTAATAAAGACACAATAAAAATGTAAAACAAAATGCTCCTGAATGATTTACAGCAGTGGTTCTCAAACTTTTCTAGTCCCACAGCCAAATTTTGAACCTGTTGTGAAGAGCGCACACAAACAAGGCAAGTTAAAATAACAACCAAACTTAAGCACGTATTTAAAATACCAAGTCATCTTAACAACAACACACGTAACAACTAGGGCTGAGCAAAATATTCGAATAACGATCGAATGATAAAATATTCGAATGGCATTTTACTATTCGAATATCCGGTACCACGTGACCTGCGCCGCTCTGCTTGGACACCAAACTCGCGAGTCTCCAACTCAATCGTGAATTGTGCAAGATCTCCCCACGGCACTTGCTATAAAAAAAAAACGACAAATTTGAAAAGTCGTTGTCTTTGCGTTGTGGTTGTTATGTGCTTTTCTTTGCACTTAACGTATCGTTTCAATTCTATATTTTGCAAAAAAAAACGAACCGACCGTTACGTAAAGTTACAAACGTTGAATCAGATTAGGTATTTGAAATAAATTTTCCACATTTTAAACTCCGCATGTTTGGTGACATTTCTTGCATGACTCGAACATAAAATTGATTAAAATTGAATGACGTTATAATGACTTCTCGGCGTTTCATTGTGAAAAAGGCGATTTTAGGTCCTTAGAAAACTCGAGTTATATAAATAACATGGATTTAAAAATGACTAGCAAAAGTTTTTCCAAAAGCTGGTATGAGTTACTTGTATGAAAAACACTCATTAAGTTGTAACCAGACAGAAAATGTCATGTGCTACCTTTTTAAAGCACTTTGTATAAGCTCTACAGTGATCCCTTCCATCTTTGGCCAAGTGATGTTTCGAATATGTAAACATTTTACTCGACCATGCATGGGCGTGGAGCCAAGAGTAGAACGTAAAATCAATCGTGAATTTTGTTGTAACAATGCACACTGACTCGTTCACGAATTGTTGCGTCTATTATCATCGAAAATGATTATAAGTGTTAAATTTTGAAACATTTGGGCTGTAATAATTAAAGCATGACCTTTTCAAAATCAATAAGTGAAGTGCTGAGTTTGAGTACCAAATTCCGTGAATAAAATTGAGCATTACTCAGTTACCTTTTTTAAGCTATAATACCCGTCGGGGTGTTGTTTTGGTGAAAAAAGCAACATTAAAACATGAAGGAATTAGTTATAATTAGCGTCTGACCCTCATTAGGCACATAGGTCTAGAAATGCCTATATGGCTAATTTATCTAATCGCTAGTTTAAATCAACATTCAGGATTCACGCAATCGCAAATTTGCGAGGTTTATCTATTTAATACTAAAATAACACGAACACCACAGAAAAGCGTGAGGAACTCAATTAGAATTTTAATAAATATGTGCATCTCGGTTACCGTTCAATTTAAATAGGCACGGTTAATTTACAAGCGGTGATAAGTAAGATCAAAGCCAATACAGAGGATAAAACTGAGAATAAAATTATTTTGGTTTTGAAATCAGCCCTTAATGTCCTCAACAACTGTTGCTGATGTGAACGCACGGGTATACTAGAAATATAAAACTTCGATAATATGATGAAATTAACCATTACTCTGTATAAAAAAACGCTTTATTGCCGACTTTTCAATATTTCTATTAATTTTCAAAGGGAGTATCGACCTCCGACGTTCTGGATCCCTGTTATGTATAAAAGTATTCATTATTCGACTATTCGGTATTCGTTAAAAATATTCGAATCATTCGATTTGAAAAAATATTCGATTTTGCCCACCCCAGACCAACAGCCATTTAATTTGGCTTTGATTTCTATTCTAATTACTGAAACGAAATTAAAATGCTCCAGAAATTAAAATAATCATTGATTTATTCGATTTATACATAATATTTGGAAATGCGACAAAAAAAAATCCACGAAAGTGAGCCATGTCTAAAATCTCTCCAAGCGAAAAGTGTCCAAGTGACTGCGGAAACGCGTACTGTGGCGTCACTATTGCATCTTGCAGATAAGTTAGTCAACGTTACGCAAATAAACATGGCGGAATCCAATCGACTAACTAATAGACTAACTAATAGCATTTTTATTTCAAGTCAATGATTAGTTTTCAATGAAAAATTTTCTCCGAAAGTAATTGATTTTTAAAGCATCAACTAGAGCTGCAGGAAAGGTTGTTAAGAGCCGCATGAGGCTTTCAAAGCTTAGTTTGAGAATTACTGCTCTACAGACTGGTAATATAATATAAAATCAAGATTTTGATCTATTTAAGGCATTTTTATTTCTAAACAAAAAGAACAAGTTTCGGTTTATCGAGAAAATTTTAAATTCTTAGTAAATAGAACATAAAAGATTGTTTTAGATGAGAGGTTATCAAGGGACAATGAAACAAAAACTCAAAGTTAACGACGTAGACTAAGTGTATAACTCTCATACACTATTTTATATCTCCGTGTATTTTTTGTTTTCTTGGGCAATAAAGCATTTCATTCAATAAATAGTTTTACTGATTGTAATGAACGGGTCGTGTAATAGTTTCGTGTAGTATTATTTCAAATAACTGCGAAATCACTAGTTAAACACTATTTTTTCAAACGTTCACTCATGCTTCGGTAACAACAAACAAGTTGAGGTAATGTTTGTTGTATAAATTGCAACACTAAAAATCATTGTTTCATCTTTAATGTTAAAATATGTCAAAAATTACGAGATATTTATTTGCCTACGTATTGAACAAGATATAGATGGCAGATAAATCTTATGTGTAAACTTTTTGCAATTTCCAGGAACTTCAATTTATTAAAAGTTAAAAGTTATAAACATATTTAGAATTATAATATTTCTTAATAGAAAATATCATGCCGTATAAATTACTTGTAATATTTTGGACAATAAAGGCAACTCAGTTCATTTGTTTGAAATATTGGTACTTTAGTAAATTATTAGCTTAATATTATTAACTATTTTCTATTAACATTTTTAAAGTAAACAACTTGACATGTATAGCGCTGTTCTAACCACCCGGGCCATATACCAAAATTGCGTCCCCTCACATCGATGCAGACATTAATGATCGATATTTATGATCGTCATGGAGGAGTTGAAAAATAGTTAAACAAATATTTTTGAATATACATAAATGAAGGCATTCAAAATTAATATACTAGTTTAATAATCACTCATACCGATTGGATTAAGATCAGCATAAAACTATAAAAACTTAAAATCTCAAGATGAAGTAGATTCAAATTAATTTCATAAACTATCAAGCAATGGATCTTTGCAACTAATGTTTCCAATATACATTTCAAACTCTGGAAAGTCACGACCAATTAATTTTGTGGGTAGTTTGGAAATTTGAAAAAAAAAGAAACATCCGAATTACGCTTAGTCAATGACCAAAAGAACAATGCTTAGATGTAAAAATTCATTTTCCAAAATCAATAGCTATACAATTAGGGTCCAAAAATCGGTCCATAAGTAAGAAATCTTACTAGAATGAATGTTGTTTAACAAAGTATATTCGCAAACATTGACTAGATGCCAGATTTGTTATTGACGAAATGCACTATCAAATTTTATTAATATAAGTACAATGTTATTTTATATATAAAAGGGAACAACATATACGATTCTTCTATTTTTTGAGTGATTATAATGATTCAGGTTGAATAGTTGGTTAATACTACACATCACACTATGTTTTAGTGGTCATATTTAATTGCATTACCAACGAGCTTATTTATTAATACATTGGTAGCTATCACTATCATGATTAGAACATAAAATTGAAGTTGACGGTTATCAGTTTGATAGGCTCTGTAAAAAGGCTTTTCCACCGTGTAACTTGGCAAAGATTGGTCCACAGAAATTCTTGAGTTCTTTCTTCTTCTTTTCGGATTCACTAATTTCCGGATTCTAAAATCAAGTAAGAAATTGATAAAACAAGTCAATAAATTTTTCTTTGTTATTACTTATCGATTTTAATTGGTAAGTATGTTGATATGTATTTGTCTGTTTGTCTGTCTGTCTGTTAGATACACGTAATATCTCACGAAAGCGAGATTGAATCTGCTCCAGATTTCGCATGTGCATTCATCATATGTCGGACCAGAAGCCTATTGATTTTGGATGAATTATGTCGTATAATTAGCGAGTTATTAATTAATTAGTGATGGGACACAAGGTGTCACTGTGGAGTAAGAGCGTTGTTTTGGGGGATCCCTTAACTTTCGATCCATAAGTCTTCGGTCTCCGACCGATATTCTCGTTTATGTTTTGTACAAAAGGATGTGGTAAATGAGATAATATAACCATCTTTGATTCGTTTTTGTGAAAATTCAGAGAGGAAGTATGATAAGATATCAAAAATTTTTAATGAAAAATGATGAGGCAATGTCGACTTACTCCTTGTAGTTTGGCCCAGTTTAATATTTCTGTACATTTTTCAACGATAAGCTTTTTGTATTGCTCTGACATTTTGTCTCCAAAATCGGGATCGTCTACTGAATGCTTGATTGCATAGACAAAATCTTCAAGATCATTTCGAGCTTTATTTCGTGTTTTAAAATCTTCATCCTCTTTTCTGAATTTTTCGGCTTGCTTGTTCTGTTAATAATAGCTGAGAACTATAGTAATTTTAACAAAAATTGATTATAAAACACAAAATGTGTCATTTTAAACAATTAATTGAAATAAAATATAGTAGGAAACCAGTGATATACCATTTGTTCAATTTCTTTTGCACTTAATCTTGCTCTGTTGTTTGAAATTACGACTTGATTTTCTTTGCCACTACTGATGTTACGAGCGCTCACAGTTAGTATTCCACTTTCATCAACTGCAAAGCATAACGAAAATTTCTCTTTTTCTCTCGGTTTTGGTGGAATGCCATCAATAGTGACACTTCCGAGAAAATGATTATCTTTAACGCATGCACGCTCCCCTTCGTAAATCTAGAATAAAACAAATTGTAGTTGAATATTCTTGATGTTGTGAAAATGATAGACACTATTTTAGTTAGAAGTGGTTAGTATTCATGGCAGTATATTTTACCCCATGAATTCATAGCAACGCAAAGCAAGAAAATTGTTAAAAGATTCTAAAATGTTTCATCTTACATAAAATCTAGCTTTTGTCTGATTATCTTTGGTTGTTACCGGTGTTACGTCTGTTTCAATGATGGGTATTTTGGTATTTTTTTGCAGTACTATGTTCATTCTGTCCCCAAGACTTCTCCAACCAACTGACAGCGGCAACACGTCCCAAAGATGTATTTCTTTGAACTAAAATCAGTACCATATAGTTTACGGCTTTACGCAAGAAAGGGTTGGAACCTGTTGAGCATTGTTTATTAGTATTTGCTGGTACTATGGCAAGTCTTAGAGGCGTACGATTACGTTGATGGTATTTGACTCCAGCTTTTTTTGGGGCACGAGTAGCGTCTTATTACGTCATTATACAAAAATAAAATTAAAAAAAATAATAAATAAAAAAAAATCTTGGGATAACTAAGCCACTGCATGTAAGTTGGGTTTTGAAACGTGGCTCTTATGCATTCGAATTACCATCATACCACGTCGTAAAATGCCCCCATAGAAAATTCGTAGCAATATGTTGCTCGCACGAAAAATTTTGGAGTTGAACCAATATTTGGCTTTGAACGTGAAATAAGATGAATGTTTGTAAAATGAACATAATGCAAGCAACCTACGTCAGACGCGAATTGTGTATCAAATGACAGCTTAGCTGCCAAAGCTCCTGCACCATATGCTACGGCTTCATCAGCATTAATCTTTTTAGACAGGACTTTGCCATCGAAAAGCTCCTTCAAAAGTTGCTGAATTTTTGGAATTCTTGTTGATCCACCAACAATCACAACGTTGTCAATCTACAAAAAAAAAAATCAAATTTTCATAACAATATTGGGTGCCACTTTGGAGTGCGATCCTAGGCGGTTGTGTGATATCAGTAATTTTAGTTAGAGTCAGGAACTGAATTTCACGAGAATTTCTTTAAAGATAGAGTTTTTTTTGGTCAGCAAAAAACTAAAAACATGACACACCGCATTAGTTAAGTAAAAATAAGCTCACCTCTGTAGTTTTCATTCCTGCATCCGAAAGTGTCTTTTCAACAATCTGGATCGTTTTGTTGAACAAATCAAGGTTAAGTTGTTCAAACTGGGATCGTGTAATACTGCTCTTCAAATCCTTGCCTTCATAAAATCCATCAATCATGAGTCTACAAAAAAAAATCAATTGTCAAAAGAAGGTTTATATCTGGGATGACGAACATTGTTCAATGAACAGGTCAAAAATTATATTTTAATCACCGAAGATAGTGGGTCAAAGATATTTAATCAAAGTTTGTATCAATAAGAAACGTGCTACTGCATCTTATCTTGTAAATCTTATAAGTTTCAGTTAGTGTTGTGTAGTTTTGGACTTTGTTTATGCAGCAAACACGCATATGATTTACCCAAGAACGCCGATCAGTGCTTTGCCATCCCAGGTTTATATAATTTTAAAGTGGTTATTAGAAGAGATGTTCGTGAGCTTTAAATTTTAGCAAAAGTACAATGTTAGCGCATTCGAACTAATTTATTGAATCTAATATCTTTTCAATCATTGAAAAATGAAATTTATTAATATATTTTGTGCTAGCTACTTGTTTCATTGATTTATTCCCAAACAATAAATGTTCACTTGATATATTGCTTTGAAACAAAAATGAAAAACTGCTCTAATCTTCTACACTAAACACTTCTATCGTTCAAACGCCATGATTTCAAGTGAAAACATTGAATATCTTAAAGCGTACCTTGCCGTTATAGAAGTTGAAAGTTGTTTTTTAGCTATTTCACATTGAACACGCAGCCGACTTAACGCACGTTTATCCTTCGATATGTCGCATTTGTTTGCTTCGTTGAATTCCTCGATAAAATGTTCCGTCAATCGATTGTCAAAATCATTTCCTAAAAATGAGAAAAATGAAAGTAAATTTACAATCACGCACTTAATATTCCATGAAAATGAATTTTCAGTAAATATCTTGGTTCGAAAATAATGAAAAGTTTTCCAGCTATTCAAACAATTCGTTGGGTCTTCATTAAATCGTAATTTTCGATTTGAGGGTTATGAATTTAATTTTCTATTTTTTTTTTGTTAGAAGGAACAAAAAGTGATAGATCGTCTTACAATCTTAAAATATTTGTTATAACTTCTTCTAGAAGCACTTTAAATAGTTGGAGACAAGTTGTTCATTAATATAAAAACAAGTCTTACAATATAGTATAAGAAAAACTGTATTAGAAAAGTTTAGATTACCAACCAATTTTCTATATATAGCTAATATATTCTTCATTATTGGAACACTTGCACCAATGCTAGAAAATATCAAACCCCATGAATCCCCAATAAGACATATATTTTATTTTAAAAACTGCGTGTTTTTAAGTTTACCTCCCAAATGTGTGTCACCCCCTGTAGCTCTCACATGGAATATATTATCTTCAATATTTAAAATTGTGACATCGAATGTTCCTCCACCAAGATCAAATATCAGAATGTTTTGTTTATCATTGGTCTGAATAAGAGAAAAACCCTTCAACACAAGCCGGTATGCACCTAGGATCTCCGCTGATAGTTGAGGCACGCACTCAAGCAACCGGACACCATCCATATATATTTGTAAATCTATATCGGCAGCGTGATTTAGTAAGCGGGTCACCAAAACTGCCAATATATTTTTTACGCTGCACGTTTCGTGGATTTTTATACTTCACCTAATAATTAAAGCAATGTTCACTAATATATTTAAGGCTTCTCCATTTTAGGTATTATTAAGATCAAAAACGACTTGTTCGAAAGAGTATTTTCTTCTGCGGAAGGTAGCGTTCTTTAAATTTCAATTTTCGACTTGGTTGACTAGAAAATCGCCATAAATTTTGAAAAAAAAATGAAAATTTCAAAATGATCGGCGTGTTTTTTTGCTGTTGCTATGGAAACGAAAATTTAATTCGGGCCTGCGATGAAACGCACCATAAATAGAATGACAAAATAATAACCCATTGTAAATTACATACAGATAGGCCCAGTCGTTAAGATGCAACAGCTTTGACACACGGGCAGCGGAGATCCACTAAAATAATAACGTTGTTAGACTATCGGATAGATGGATCATATAAATTGTCCAACAAGCGCAAATTATTTTGAAATTATTTTTGAATAATCTGCCCTGCAAACATAATTATGCCAGTTGTTAATATAGATTCATATCCTAAATGAGTTATAGTTTGCAATTTTCCTTAACTGAAGCCTAAATTATGCTCGTGTCACTGTAATTGTTCACGAAACAGAATCTTAGTGACAGAATAAATACAGATATGTACTTTCTATATATTTTCTCTCGCATTTTGGGCCGGTAACAAAAATGATTGTTCTAACATAGTAATTAAGAAAAACTAACGGAATAACTTGAAAACGAATATGAAAATACCTCTATCCCGTACGCTAGAGCCGCAGCAGTGGGTTCGTTGATCATTCGTAAAACATTCAAGCCCGCTATGATTCCTGCATCTCTCGTTGCACTACGCTGTGCATCATTGAAATGAGCAGGAACTGTAATAACGGCATCGGTAACTGGCTCGCCCAAATAGTCTTCCGCTGTTTGCTTAAGAGATTCAAGAATCATTGCGCTGATCTCTTCGGCAGTGAAGAACATGACTTGCTTCTTGTATGACACCTGTAATATAATTTGAGTTATTTGTAACTTGATATTTTACAAATATTGAATTTTGAAGTAACGTTTGAGGCTTTGTTTCTTATATCCCATCAATAGGTACCATATATAACGATCAAGCAATGTCAATATTGACAATTTACTGCAGTAACTTACACGGACGATTGGTCTGTTTTTGTCATTGATGACGTTATATCCTAGTGTTTTCATATCAGCTTGCACCATGGGATCATCGTATGTTCGTCCAATCAGCCTTTTGATTTCTGACGGAAGAATGAAAAAAAGGATTTTATAGTTATGCCAAATGGGTTCATTTAACCGAATTCTGTTCGAACACAGTAAAATATAGCACAGCACAGTTATTATATATGTTTAGCTTTTCCCACGAACATTTGAATTAGCATTCCTATTTCAAAATTTCACTACAAATCTTAGTAAAGCGTTTGAAATTTAATGATAATATTTTGTATATTTTATATTTTAACAAATTGAAAACTAAAAAAGAAAATGTAGTATATTCTAAGATATTAGTCATAATGCCCATAGCTCTGGTCCAGGAGAACATCATGAATAAGGGTATATACAAAATCTTACGGAATATTGTATCCTCAAAATTAGATGACGTTCATCTTCTGTGAATGATACAAAAGACGGAGTAAGTCGACTTCCTTGATCGTTGGCAACGACTTGGATCTGTGTGCGAAGAAGAAACGATATATAATTAAATATTACAGAAATGAGTTTTTAACAGCGTTTGATAATTCAATAAAATGAGCACCATTGTTGCACCATTTTACATGGATCGAACAAAAAATAAAAGTTGATGGGCTTGCCCCTTTTTGCATAGTAATGCTAATGAATTAAAGACTGAATTTGAATGTATTTTTTTCTCCATAAAATCATTCATGTCTGACTAAAAAACTTTTTTTTCACTCAATTAGTACTGAAAATGTAAATGTTTGCATAGTTTTAACAAAAATACCTGTTTATTCCTGTAAACAGCAACGCATGAGTTAGATGTGCCGAGGTCAATTCCTATGGATGGCATCTGATGACTTCAAATAAATTTACAAAACTTGAAAACTTGAAAAACATATATTTGGAAATAGATTAAAGTTGGTTGAATATCGAAAATCATTTGTGGCTGATACATTACCTACAAAACGTAAGCAAGTGATTAGGTTAATTAAAGAATATTAGTATTCAAAGCTTGGTTCAAAACTAATGAATGTTAATGAATTTTGTTACTGAATGATTTTAACAAGAGTTCAATTATATTTCACTATTATACAGTTCTCATTGAGGGCAAAACCATAAATTTTAATGTTTGTTTATGGGGCTAGTAACTGCGCCAGTGGCTAGTCTCGCTAAGGTTAAAATATGGTTCTGGATTTTATTCTTACTTTATGGCTAATATTACTCGAACTGACCTACAAATCACCTTTTCAATCTTATCATTTTGCTGCTTCATTTTGGATAATGATTTATACATAATTCGATTCGTCACAAAATCTATTTTATAGACAGAATGTGACTCTATGCTGCTTCATTGATGTTGAATTATAATCTCTAAACTGTTGTTCATATTTCATTTTACCAGTACTTATGATAGTATGATATGCATTCTATTGATCAGCCTCTACTACTACTCTGCTCATTAGTTAAATACCTGGTTTGTTCTGCAGTACTCTAGCATACATTACCCTTCAAACAATGTAACGATGACAAGATATTGGGCCAACAGGACTGAGTAAACAAGGTAGTATCTCTGTGTTTATTCTGTCACATATATTTTCACCTATAGACTCGGGCACAACACGCAAACAATTCAGCTGATATAGGACAAATTTATCGCTGTACAAATATAGCACTTTAATTGGTGTAGTTATAACGCTATGGTTTATTGAAATATTTTATCGTTTCCCTTGAATCTTAGGTTTAATTCAGTTTGAGGCGGTTTTGTCACCGTGTCACCTTATATGTGAACCCTCTGTGGTCGCGTTGTGGACCCATGTTGTTTCACCCGGACTACATTGGGAAGCACTGGAAGCATATATGACCTTCAAATTTTAATTTTGTCCATAAATATCTCACAAATATTTTCATATTTCCATATTATCATGCAATTATATTTCGCGTTCGTTTTGACAAAAATTCATTTTCGCTTACATTCATTTAAAAATTTAATTACATGGTTAGTTGCTTATCATGTCGCACATAAAATTAATCGGCGAAAATAATCAATTTGTTTTGTGTTTATCAGTTAATTATTGATTTTTAAATTTGGGTTTAAAATTAACCTATAAATATATATTCAAATATTTATAGGATCGGATGCTATTGCATTTCTTTTTTCCTGGCCGATTTTTGAACTTTCATTAAATATTTAATAAATTTAAAAAAAAAGAGACATAGCTATGAATTCTTGCATTTAAGCTTATTTTAGTTACTGACTAAGCTCATTTCAGGCATTTTTATCGCATTTTTAACCCTTCTTTTATCAAGAAAATGATTGGGGCGTGAATTACCAAAGTTTGAAATAATATTAGAAACATTAATTGCAAGCATTCATTATCTTAGTAGTAAAAATAAAATTTGAATCTACATCATCGGCAGAGATCTAATTTTTAAAGCTATATGCTGAATTACTTGATATGAATTCGATTCTTATAACTGCTTGACTAAAGTTGCCTAGCTAACAATTGATAAATTATTGTAATAATTTGAATGATTTTATTAATGTATATTTAAATGTATCCGTGCCACTATTTACCATCTCCCCCATGTCGGTAATAAATTAAACAATTACTTCATCAATCATTAGTTGATGAAAACATAGAAGTATAAGGGGACGCAATTGTTGTATATGGCCGGTAGGATTGAAAACAGTTCCACACATTATAGTTTGTATATGCTAGTAATGTTCACAGAAAATGATGAAAAAGATTTCAAAATATACAGTTGTGGATGCGATGATACGCAAACAAAGATGGTTTGCAAAATACAAACAGTGGTATCTTGTCTCTGTCCTGTTAGTTGTGCCTTGGTCAATTTTGAGCAGTTGGGTCAATGTATGTTAATATTGCATATTTATTATTTTAGCAGTTGTTAGAATGAACGCAGGGGGCTAGACATCGTTGTGCCGGACAATAAAAGAATCAGATTTTAGCGTTTGATGCATACCGTTGTCGTAATATTAATCTTCTAATTTTTCCAACAACAAGCGGAAATCTTTAATAAGAGAGTATGCAACGTTTTTCTTTTTGTTGTTGCTATGTTTGTTCCATGGTATTGATGGGAGTAATTTTTTTAAATGTACAATATACAATTACAATACAATTGGGCCATGTTATTCAGCATCATCACTAACTCTTACAATAAAAAGTCCGGATTGGTTTCTTCTTTGAATCCTAAATCATAGTTTATTTTATATTTCATTAATTTCAATATTTTGTCGCCGGTCCCCAAGTTAAATTTATTTGATGATACCATTCCGCCAAATTAAAAATACTAAAATTGGCGCAGTAATATGACATGTTGCAGTTTTGTTAACTTGTCAAAATTACCACAGTGTAAATGAACCGTTTTGTGACGAAAAAGGCATGACCTCAAGATGGCGCTGCAGTGTTACTCTTTATGCTTTGTCTAATAAGGGAATTCACCTGTAATTTGTTTTGATGTATGCTGTTCTGAAGGTTTTAGCTTGGACGTATTGGTAGGAGAGTTCAATTGAACACTACTTATTAGGTCGAAGGTATGCGTACTAATAACCATAGATTATTCTAATGAACTAAAATGTAGAGTAGAATAAAGATGCCGATATTGGACTTGTGTAAACAAGATATTGTGAAATGTGTGCCGTCGAGCATTTAGTGTGCCTGCAAGGAATTTCAATTATGGGCGGTGATACACGAAAAAGATTTATAAATCCAACATACGTACAATTTTTTTGTTGGGCCTCACTTGAAAAACTTTGCCGACCACTGCTTGTAAGATGATATTTATGACATTATTATTAATGCTATACTTGTCACCTTTGACATTGCTTGCTTACGCTCTCTCTTGCATCTACAGCATGCTGATGTGATCCATGATGTCTATGTTATATCCATAAATATACTCAAGCATTCTAAACAGTAGTGTGTTTACCAACAAACAAACACAATGATGTTTTTGACCTTCTACAGTAACGAGCAATTCTCAAAGCAAATGGATTATAAATGGGATTTTACACACTTTTTTTTTACATAAGCTACCAATATCGGCATCTAGTTTTTACTCTATATTTTAGTCTATCAGAAGAATCTACGCTAATCTAAGCTAAAACCTTCAGAACAACATGCATCCAAACAATCACAGGCGAATTCCCTTATTTGAAAAAAAATATTGAAATGCCTTGCAGTGTCATCTTGAGGCCATGCTTTTCTCGTCTAAAAATGTTCATTTACACTGTGGAAATTTTAAAGTATTAACAAACTGTTTTTGGCTGTACTGTATATATACTGCTCATAACATTAATTGTCTATATGTCTATGCTCTATCTATATGTCTATAAGTTGGATGTATACTATATGCATATGTGTTCAGCCCTATATGTGTATGATTTCGCTGCATGTGCATCTGACATGTCTGTATGTATATTAGTTACCTGTATATGCATATGGCGTTGACTTTTGTATGTAGGTACATCACTCAATGTGCGGTAATGGTCGTATGTGCTTATTGAGTTTGTTCTATATGCCAGTGTTTCCTAACCCGAGTTCGCGGTCTCAAATGAGTCCGTGGAGCGTTTGAAGGAGTCCGCAACAGAAATTCAAACGTTTTTGCGAAACTTGAGTATCATCCACGTCACGATTTAGGTTAGAATTTACATAAAACATAGAAGACAAGTTTATACACATAACATTAATCGATTCAATCAATATTCACTGGTTACTGAGTTATTGACCAAAGTTTGAAATAATATTAAAAACATTAATTGCAAAGATTCCATATCTTAGTAGGGCTAGGCATATATTCGAATATTTAACTATTAGAATAGCAATTTACTATTCGAAAATTTGGTAACATGAGTGAGAGGTCACTTGCGCTTAATCAGACGATTGGATTTCACAACTCAGTTTTGGATTTCCGACGAAAACACGAGGGTGCACACGGTTCGATAGATACCAAAGTGGTGTTTCTTGCGAGTTCGAACAACGAGGAATAATTTTCTTTTTATAAAAATAAAACGGAGAACGCCATAAGTTTTGTTTTATGACGGTCCGACCGATTAAAAGAGCTTTTTTAGACATTGCAACTCAAAAATTTCGGATGCTACCCTACCAGGACATTTCCCCTTGAGATTCTTTGCCTTACTGCCTCCACATTGGTACGCACAGTACTGCCGTAGGTGTTGTGCGAACAGCTCAGATTTGTCGAATTCAAAAAATGCGAATCAAAACAAAATATAATCGGGCACTTTACCACGCATTTTTGTGTTCACGGATTGTCATCATATTTTCTGAGAAGTATTTCTTTTATTTCGTCAACACAACCGCATATTAAAAGATCACAATTAAATTAATAATAAAGCAGGGCAATGAATATGTATTTTTGATTTACTAATATCCTTTATATATATTTTAATAAGTACTAAATCAAGTTGTACTTCCTGGAAATTTATAAGAGATACTAGGATTTTTCTAACGGCGATAACAAATTCCAATATATTCTCACATTATTATGTTCGCAGATTGCCGTTGCATTTTAGAGAAGTAATGCTTTCATCTTGGCGTAAGTCGACGCAGCCGCGAGTTACCATGAACACAATTAAATTAAAATAGAAAGACATTTCAAATATTCGTTGTTGTCGTAGATTGAATTTGTTTGACAGAAAAGGCCATTGTTGAAATTCGTTAAAATCCAGTTGTGTTTGGTTTTTTGCTCCTTCACACAGAGTACGGTTGCAATACACGCACCTTGAACCCGAAAAGGTTTTCACCGATGAGAAAATAGTCCGTGACCAAAAAAGGTTGGGAAATGCTGTTATATGCATATGATATTCCTGTATATACATGAGTTAAATGAGTACATGTGGTTTATTGAATTTAATATATTTAAATGACATGGCTGTGTTCAGTTGGCAGTATATGCATATGACATTAGCTATATGTATTTACATTACTTGTATGAATGTACAGTGGAATTAGCCGCATATGCATTTGAAAATGACTGTACACGTACATCACCAAAATGAAGGTATATATATATACTGAATTGTTTATATGTGTATGTTAAATTGGCTGTTTGTGCGTATGGAATTGACTTTATAGGTATATTGCCCGTATATAGGTATGTTGCCCGTATACCCAACAATTTAACCTTCCAGAAAGATTTAATATTCTGACAATTCATTGATATAGTTTTCTTCTGAGATTGCTCTCAATCAATATTTGAGTAAGTGAAATTTTATAATATGTGTTAATGATCTCTATATGAGGTGAATTGTAAAATGCTGATTTAATTGTAGTTTATACTTTATTGAAGTTCTGCAGAAGTTGCATAAAATAAAATTTTTCAACGTAGTTGAAGATTTCTGAGTGCTTGATTCCGAATGGCACAAAAATATAGAATTCAATTACCAAAATATGTTTGTGGGATGTTTATACAATCAATACAATTCGTCAGCTGGATTGTTTGCTTCTTGTCTACGAGTCTAGATTTTAAATATATTATGACAAACATTTGTTGGCCCAAACGCCTGTCATCGTTACATTGTTTGACGAGTAAGGTATGCAAGACTAGAGTACTTCTGACCAAACCATGTATTAGCTAATTAGCAGAGTAATAGTATAGGGTGCTCAATTGAAAGCACAATACCGTTATGAGTACCAGTGAATGAAATATGAACGAACAGTTTATAAATGCTAATTCGACATCATGAAAGCAGGATTACCATAGAGTTACATTCTGCCTATGACAATGTTTTGTTGACGAAAAAAGCGAGGTATCAACTTTTAACTTATTTTCCCTTTTAATTAGATTTTTAAACAAGGTTCAGATTATGTACGAATCTCTGTCCATAATGAAGCAGAGCTTACTCTGAAAAGATAGAGTCAGTGATTTGCAAGATGTTTTATTCATTGGAGAAATAAATATCTAGAACTTAATTGAAGTTTTATTATATTTATTTTGAGATGGCAAAGATAAAATTCAGATAAAATTTGTCGACTCATTATCCACTCGGTGCCAGAGGTCAGTATGAGTAATAACAGTCATAACATATGAATAAATTTAGGACGCAAATTTTTAAAATCAGCGAGACTGGCCCCATAGACAAACATTAATACATTTTGTAATGTCCAATCAAATTAGCTTTATACTTCCCTTCTTAAGACGTTGATGCAGATTATTCTTAAAATCGAGACTTCAATATCAAATTGCGCCATCAGAGCCAGATAATAAACAATTAATTTAAAGAAGAGTGGGCTATATCACGAGGGTAAACTATATGTTGTTTGTCGATTGACATTCCAAGCGATTCAAGCTAAGTAGTCATGTTTCAAATGTAATTTGACTAATTCGATGATCGGTAATTTCAAATGAGGCGATTTGTGTCAGAAAGGTTGCCACAAATTTGAAAACAGGTACAAAATAAGCATATTTATTTCTTAAAATGGTCAAATAAGCATTTGTTAAAATCATTTTCTGTTTAGTCGCGGCTTCGGGAAAGGTCCTGAATGATCAAAAATGTATACTTTCTTCATCAAATATATATATTTCAGGATATCTGTAATGAACGTGTGTGTGTACTCAATAAGAAAATCTAGCGTTAAAGGATGCAAAAGGAACTTTCTTTTTATCCAGAATTGTTCACTGATGTATTGTTTTCCTCACGGTACACGCTACCAATTTTCATGGAAACAAGTTTACATTATTCATTTATTTAGTTTTTTTTAGATTGAATTAGCATTTAATAACATATAATTTTAAAAGTATTCTTCAGCAAATTGCATAATGTATTGTAGTTTAAAATCCTGTGTATTTGATACGTCTTGACCCAAAGATATAAACTTCTAAGGCCAAAAAATATGACCTTGCTTGGATACTGATACAGTCAATATAATAGTGAAACGTTTCAATCGCAAACGGATTTTTAATTACCAAATTGAACTCTTATCAGAGCGATTGTTAGTTTTGTGAATGCTTTTATGTGATCAATATGATACAGTCACTAGAATTAATTACTCAGTCCTGTTTGCACAGCCGCTTGCTATTGTTACATTCTTTGTCACATACAAACACTCTCACATGTAATAATATATGCTAAAGTACTTCAGTCCAAGCCAGTTATAAACGAAGGAGTAGAGTAGTAATGTAGAATGCCGAATCATTATGACTACTGGTAAAATTAAATATGAACGAACTATAACAGGGATGTGCAACAGACGGCAATCGGGCTATACAACTCGGCCACCAAGTCATTTAGTGTGGCGCTTGTCAACACCCAGAATTTTTGCCATTAAGCTTAAAATTTTAATCCGACAGTAAATGTTTAAAAAGGCTCACACGCGGATAGAAATACATAATTTGACTAGCATTGACTTTGTGGTTCACAAAGTTAATTGACCGGGGCCAAAATTAGAAGCGGAAGAATATTCGCGGGCTGTGATATAACTAAGTGATAACTAAAATACTGCCGTATGTAATCCTAATACCGGAACGTATATTTAAGATACCGGTAGAATTCAATGGTTACGAATATGCACGTTCTTAAACTGTGATATTGACATAACAATTGGCGGCATCTAGAACGAAAAAGGTACAAACATGGTCAAACTAAAATGGTTAAACTCTTTCAATTAAGTTCGGCGGCCATATTAAATCGTTACTCGAGCCGTAATTTGGGATAGACGATACCGCATTTCTCTTCTCTAGCCTTTTCCGCTAAATTTTTTGTGTGGCCCAACTAGATGTCTGAAGTTGGTTATATGTCCCACCTCCGAAAAAAATGTTGAACGTCCCTGAACTAGAGTAATATACTACCTGTGACAAAGATTTGTTGTCGGAAAAACTGAGGTTCAATCAACATGTACCTGTAGTTATTTCTCCCTTCAATTAGTTTTTCAAGGAGGGGTTCCAATTGTATATAAATCTCAATACTTTTTCGAAGATTTCATTGACTTGAAAGCGCGCAATTTCTAGTTTAGGTGGACATTAAAATGTAATCGTTTGTACAGGAAAAACAATATATGACGTAGGAAAGTTTATGAAATATTACAATTTGGAAAATATTTCTTCTCTAAAAAAATTCAGATTGATTATATCGAAAGTTTCTTAAACTAAAATTTCTCTCCTCTATAATTTACTGGTAAAATTCACATAGCAGAAGCTACTTTTTGTGTTACTTATACACATCCATTAGTTAACGAATCTTTGGATATTATTTATTCTAAACTTAAATACTTTCTTCCTTTTTGTAGGTAATGTATCAGCCACCATTGATTTACAACATCTAACCAACTTTTTGAATATTTATTTTCTGATATTTTAAGTTTTTTAAATTAAAAATATTCAATGCCAGCCATAGGAATTGACCTCGGCACGTCTAACTCCTGCGTTGCCGTTTACAGAAATAACCAGGTATTTTAGCAAAACTATACATTTAGTTACTTTTTTTCAATGTAATGAAGTACAAAAACGTTAGCTTTTTTAAATACGTACTATTTTATGGTTAAAAAAATAATCATAATTAAAAGCTAATCATGATTTGGAAGCGAAAACTTCGTGGGTTTATGGGAGGGAATGAGATTTGATAAATATTTCCGTGCTCAATTAACACACTTCCAATGTTTGAACCACTTATAGGCTCAATATTTAACCAGGGACCAAGGAATGATACCAGGGAATGAGAATTTTATTGGTATGCAAAAAGTTGCAAGCACATCAACTTTCTTTCTTGTCCGCGGCAGGTAAAATAGTACAACGATCATTTTCTTCAGATATTTGATCATAAGAAAACTGTTAATTTTTGTTTATTTCTAATTCTAAACTGTTTCTTCTTCTCACATAGAACCACGTCATTGCCAACGATGGAGGAAGTCGACTTACTCCGTCTTTTGTATCATTCACAGAAGATGAACGTCTCGTTGGCGACGCTGCTAAATCATCATTGTCATCTAATTTTGAGAATACAATATTCCGTAAGATTTTGTATATACGCGTATTCATGATTTCCGTCTGGACCAAGGCTTTGTACATTGTATCCTCACTAATATTTTTAAAAATAGTTACTACATGTTCTTTTTTGATCATCATTTTGTTAAAATATAAAATATACCAAAAATTATTATTAAATTTTCATATTACATATAATTTATCAATGAGATGACTATAATCTGTGGTTATGACAAGTCACCGTCTCACAAGCACTATTTCAAACGCATTACTGAGATTCGTAGTGATATTATAAATGAACATGCATCGGCATTATCGTGCGTAAAGCTAAATATGAAAATGTAAAGATTGCAATGTATAAATGTAAAGATTTCACAGTGATCGGACATAATTAGGATAAAATGAAAATAGACGACCTAACTTTTAAATTCTTTTCAAGCGATCAAAAGGCTAATTGGACGAACATACGATGATCCTATAGTGCAGTCTGATATGAAGACAATAGAATATGATGTTGTCAATGACAAAAACAAGCCTATCGTTTGCGTAAGTTGAATTGTCAATATTAAGATTGCTTGCTTGAGCTCCATTGTATGGTACCTATTGACTGGATGTAAGAAGCAAAGGTTAGATGTAACTTAAAATGTAAATATTGGTAAATTTCAAATTACAATGCTACAGGTCGCATACAGAAAGCAATTTTTCACCCCCGAAGAGATTAGCGCAATGATTCTTGAATCTCTCAAGCAAACAGCTGAAGACTACTTGGGCGAGCCAGTTACCGATGCCGTTATTACAGTCCCAGCTCATTTCAATGATGCCCAGCGTGGTGCAACGAGAGATGCAGGAATCATAGCGGGTTTGAATGTTTTACGAATGATCAACGAACCCACTGCTGCGGCTATAGCTTACGGAATAGAGGTATATTTTTGTTGTCAAGTAATACCGGTATTTAGTTTTTAAAATACTATGCAAAAAATATCGATTTTTACAACATTAACTAAGGCTGCTTTTCACGTAAAGTTTAAATGCCTATTACAATCACCTATCTATACATATATATATATATATATATAACGAACATAATATACATACAACTATTTGGGCGATATACATCACATCGAATGTATATGCATGTATAGTAAACTCAGTATACATTAACAGTCCTTAAACAAATTAACCCAATCAATCAGGCTTTACCTGAGCCCTTGTGTCATTTTCAATTTTTTTTAGAATTAATATGCATGTATATCTATATGTATAAAGTGATTTGCATGTAAAGGTCAACGTCATATGTATTCGTATACAAATAGATCCAACTAAATATTCTAATGCATCCAATGTCATGTAGGCCGTATCGGACCCAAAATATCCCATTCATTCCAAACTAGTATATCCTCACTTTCAGTTACCGTTATCAATTTTGGTCCGTGCAAACATCATGGATGCAAATGGCAATGGGTTTAAATCTATAATTATCAAAAAGATAAGCCATTAAATACGGCATATACTCAAACAAGAGAGAAATGCTCAAATATATGGACACATTACCGGTAACCAGAGTGAAGTGTCCTTACCTTTGACGCTACCAGTACCCTCAAACAATTTCCGAGTTACGCGTAGCAGGAATTTACAGATTCAAACCGGACAGCCAGTGTCCCATGGATAAAATAACACAGCGAAATTTTGGATGAAATCTCAGATAATCCCTTCTAGCGAAAAATATATTCTTTACTCACTGAAAATTCCAAAGCAAATGGTCCAGTAATCAATGAGAAAAGCAATTTTTTCATAACGATACCAAGAAGAATACAAGTAAGAACAAGGACAACAAAAAATGCAAAACGATCGTTATGTCCACTAACGTGTCCAATAAAATTAAACAAAGAGGTAAAATAGCAAAGTAGACACTCTAATTGGATCATCCCTATAAACCGACAGTACCACGTTCTAGTGAAAGATTCATTCGACATCCTAATAAACTTTTAATTCCAATGGAATGATTATATTTTATTCAGACCAATGACAAACAAAACATTCTGATATTTGATCTTGGTGGAGGAACTTTCGATGTCTCAATTGTAAATATTGAAGATAAAGTATTTGATGTGAGAGCTACTGGAGGCGACACACATTTGGGAGGTGAAATTGAATAAATGGAATTTTAACGAGAAACGATGTAACTTCAAATACATATCATAACCTACTTTCAAATTCTCATTCAATAATGCACAATTTGCAAGTTCAAGAAGATGAAACTATTTCATTTTTTTAAAACCTTTTATTCTTATGCACGAAAATTCAAACTTTTACAACCATATTATAGAAACATGAAGAGTAGTCGGAAATTAAACATTAGACAAACTGGAAAAATTGAAACATTACGTCAGCAATTGTATACAAGCGTCTCAACTGCTGGCACGATTTCAATTATTGAACATGGAATCGACGGTTCTAGGAAAATTCGCGGCAGGAAATCTCGCCGTAGGAAATTTCGCCTTATAGGAAAAATTGCCGTCTGAAAATCGCCGCAAGAGCATTTTGAAGTAAAACAAGTATTTGTAATAAAAACAGATAGGTTTTTGAAGAACCTTTTTATTGAACAACGATTCGTTATTTTAGAGCATATTCTGAACCTCACCCTATAAACCCAACTGTTTTTCTAACAAATACTTGTTTTACGGAAAAATGCTTTTACGGCGATCTTCAGAAATTTTTCGGACGTCATCATGTATTCTTTTGTTATTATTGTTGTTGTGAAAATCGCTTTTCGCTTTTAACCACAGGACGAATTTGCTTTGAACTTTTCAGCGGTTGAAGATTAAGGTAGGTCAAAATTTTCTGTGTGCGCCACTAGTCTATGGGATTCGTTTTTTTGTGTGCTATGACGTTATAAAAATTAAAAAATGCGTACTCTGTGGCGGTTCCACGTTCGTCTTCGTCACTGTCGGGGGGTCAGCCGAAGTCGTGAAAACTGTGGTACCAGTAGTCTACTATGTTAGATTGCTTATCCGTACTACTTCATTTTGTCCTTCGGTCATATATTTGAGCATCGCTCTCTTGTTTTATAATATTTTATTTTGGTATAAATCTAACACCATATCTGTGGTTCATGTTTAGGAAATGATTTTGACAACAGATTGACTGAACACTTTGTTAAAGAATTCAACAAAGCAAACAAATGCGACATGTCGCAGGACAAACGTGCATTAAGTCGGCTTCGTGTTAATTGTGAAATGGCTAAAAGACAGCTTTCAAGTTCTGCAAAGACAAGGTAACCAACTTCAGATTTTATGAATTTACTTAAAATCATAATGAAGATTTGGTCCAAACTGATGAATAAACAAGAGTGTGCAAAACGTATCCAAACTATTATCCAGTTACGTCAATGTCATATCATCATTGTTTTTTTACTGTTGAAATCCATTTATAGCAACATTTTTTATTTTCAATTTACTCATTGAAAATAAAAATCTTAATATGAACGACAGGTTACCGTTTACTGATAATGTTGAAAGCCAGCATATAAGACAGTAGATTCCAAACTCTAAAATTTCAATTTTTTCCCAAATTATATATTTGAACCTCGGGTGTCGCTGCTCGATAACCAGCTTTGGTTCCTCGCGACTTCCCTTCACCAGTAAAACTGTGTATTTATCATTTTTCTCGTAATTTGTGTTCTATTGCTGTTTATTTTACTGATTGAAAAAAACAAACTTGACTTGACTTGATACAAATTTGATTCGGTAAATTAGCTTGAAAAGTCAAAAGCTATATTTGATAAGTCGGTGTGAATTCTACAGTATAGTATCTTTTATTTATATTTATTGCATAAGAATCATTTATTCAACAAGTATTTTTAGGTATTTTAAACTACCTCAAAAGATTTCATCTGTTTTTTTTCTTCGAGAGTTAACATTGATGCACTTTACAACGGCAAAGATTGGAAGAGCGATATCACGCGGGCAACATTCGAACAACTTAATCGTGATTTGTTCAACAAAACAATTCAGATTGTAGAAAAGACGATTTCAGATGCAGGAATGACAACTTTGGAGGCAGGCATATTATTTTTTATTGATACCATACTTATTTTATTCAGTTTTTGTTTCGAGTGTTACGCATTGTTTCACCCATGTTTCACGCTTTACAATTTTGTTTGGTCATAATCATCGACTTCATTGTTTTCAGTCATGAAGTCAAATTTGCAAATATAAAAATTGGCAGATGTTCTAAAGTTTTCGCAAGAAAATTTGAATTTGTTCAAATGCTTGACTGCAGCCGTAGGGTTATATGTTTACGGTTCTGACTTATACCATTGATTTCCTCCTAATGCATTTAAGATTATCAACAATATTTAAAAAAAAATAAACAAAGATTAAATAAGATAATACTTTTCATACTTAGGCCGTAGCTTTAACTAAAACTCAAAACATGACGGTTATATGAAGTGAGAACAAGATATAAAACAAAAAATCAATTCTCAAACATATTATAGAAAGAACAAATTGAAACATAGTAACGCCACATTTGAAATTGAATTGACGCTGGAGCCTAGCGCATATTGTTTTAAGGCATTGTATCTCATGCAAACATTTTCTTAGCAAAAATACGACAAATTACAAGGCTAACCTTTTACTATATAACCAATATGAACGAAAGTGCACAAACATCTGGATACAAGGTTCTCTGACTGACTAAGTAACGATAGGCTATGTAACTTACACTGAACTTTGTTTTCTGATCATTCGAAAGCTTCAAATCATCATTACAAGTTCCACAGCCCTATTAGTTTACATCGGTAACGGTCCGTACTTGAGAAACGGCTTTGTCAAAAAATAGGCGACCATTTACCTATCGATCTCGATCGGTAAGTATGTTGATAGGTGTTTGTCTGTTAGACACTTTCGTATGTTACGCGATTTCTTACGAAAGCGAGGTTGAATCTGCTCCAAATTTTGCATGTACATTCATCATATCTCGGAGACCAGGAGGCTATTGATTGGATAAATTTGGTCTTATAATTAGCGAATTCATAAACAATTAGTGATGGAACACGCGGTGTCGCTGTGGAGTCAGAAGAAAGGAGACACCGCTAGATCGATAAGTCGGCGGTCTCCGATCGTTATCTCGTTTGACATATTGTTATGTGGTGGATCGAATTAAAAATTTGGGTAAAATAACAGGTATATTGGACTCAGGGAACATTTGTACTATACCAAAACATTAGCCTTCTGAGGGCTTCATTCATACTCACTAAAATTTCAAAATCGATTCGTCTATTAGTTGTAAATAAAAAATAGCAACAACAACAACAACTAAACACTTTTTATGTCTAAACTCAGTGGTTTGACTGACAAAAGTGGAGGAATAAAATGTTTCTATACGTTTAAAATGTTCTGGTGGGTTTAATAGTAAAAACAGTAATAAAACTGTAAAGTTTTGGGTTAAATATTGGGTCAAATAATATTTAAGCAAACTTTGTAAAAATTGGTGTAGACTAAATTAAAACGTAATGCTCAGCGATTTTTTTTATTTTGAATTACTGAACATTCAAAGTCGATTGGTCCATCAGTTAGGATGAAAAGCAATTTTTCCTTGACAACAACTATGACTTGGTTTCACAGAAACCATGGAAAAATACCTAGTCAGTATATGAAAACGTGTGTAGTAATGTAGCTGAACAAAGCTATTATGAAATTTTATTGCCAGTCAAATATAACATTTTTTCAGATTGACAACGTTGTAATTGTTGGTGGATCTACAAGGATTCCAAAAATTCAGCAACTTTTGAAAAAACTTTTTGGTGGCAAAGTCATAGATAAGAAGATTAATGCTGATGAAGCTGTAGCGTATGGTGCAGGAGCTTTTGCAGCTAAACTGGCCGATGATACACAGTTTATGTCAGATGTAGGTATACCTATACATATCATTATTGTTGCAAATTTCCCACTCAATTCACGTCTAAAACTGAGTATTGTTTTTTTTTATATACTCTTAGAGCTATATTTTTTCACAAATACCACTTAAATGTACTTAATCGTTTATCCACTCATTTGCGATAAGTTTTATATTTACCCTGCTGGTCAGTGTCATTTCTTGCTATTCGGATATAAGCTCCTCTTCCCACTGAAACAGCTTTCTATTTAGAATAATATTTTCATGGCATTTCACAATGCAGCATGAGGGAAATCGGCAAGGATAAAATTCAAGTTTGAAGAATGAATTGATCATTCTAATAATGCACACTGTTTCTGTCACCAAACGTATTTCTCCCATGAATTGCATGACATTATTTTTTCGTAATTAGGGCAGATCCAAAACACAGAAAATATCGCCATTTCACTTAGCGGAATGGGCCAGTGAATCAGAAGACGCTAAGATCCAAATATCGAAACCCTGTGAGCAGTTCGAATTACTGCAAATATGAAAAAATTTAGTATATAAAAGATAGAACACAAGTTGTGCGGGATTGTTAAGCTAAGAGAAACAAACATTTCTAACTCGAAAAACGCGCAAAGCAATGACTGAGTGATTACGCGCAATTTGGGAATTTTTCAGAGTACTACAACAACAAGTGGGGACAAGCCAACGAACTATATTGACAAAATTTCAGTACCTTTTCAAAATTCGTAATAAATACTGCACCATTTTAGTTTAAAGAAATTGATCTTCGTGACGTGTTGCCGCAATCAATTGGATGGGAAAGTCTTGGGGGTGGAATGAATATCGTACTGCAACGAAATACCAACATACCCATAATTGAAACAGTCCATGGACTGACTACAGCCGAAGATAATCAGACATCAGTGTCGTTTATAGTAAGAGTTTTTTTCTATTATTCTTTAATATAGTTATAAAACAATTTTGAAATTATTCTGTAATAGTTTTGTTTCGCCTTTTTCCTTTATATAAGCAACGTAACTTCTAATAAGAATCGAAATAAGCTATAATATTTGACAGCATAAAACATATTTTACAGCTATTTGTTTTCACGAAGGGGAGAGAGCACGTGTTAAAGATAATCATTTCCTTGGGAGTTTCATTGTTGATAATATTCCACCGAAGCCGAGAGGCGAAGAGAAGTGTTCGTTATGCTTCGCAATTGATGAAAGTGGAATACTTACTGTGAACGCCCGTAACATCAGTAGTGGCGAAGAAAATCAAATTGTAATTTCGAACAACAGAGCAAGATTAAGTGCAAAAGAAATTGATAGAATGGCATGTCACTAGTTTGCTAATTTATTGCCTATTTCAAGTTTATATTTAAAGTGATGTATTGAGTTGTTTAGTTTGTACTTGTTATTGGTAATTGTTTTTGGTTAGAATTACTAGTTTCTATGATACTAATAACAGAAAAAGGAAGCAGAAAAACTTAGAAAAGAGGATGAAGAGTGGAAAGCACGAAATAGAGCTCGAAATGATCTTGAAGATTTTGTATATGCAATCAAGCATTCAGTCGACGATCCTGATTTCATACACGAAATGCTAATGCACGACAAAAAGCTCATGCTTGAAAAATGCACGGAAATATTAGAATGGACTAATATAAAAGGAGTAAAATTTTATTTTGTTCAAAATATGGATTTTTTAAATCTCTAAATACATATTAATTATGCTTTATCTTTGTGATCATTAAAAAGAACAAAATTTTGTTTTATAGTATCTAACTTACCTCATCTTTTTAAATAAATGACATAAAAACATTTAGTGACTCCTTATATCTAATTATTACTTGCTTTTAGAATCCAGAAATTAGTGAATCCAACGGGATGAAGGAAAAACTCAAAAACATCTGCCGTCCAATCTTTGCCAAGTTACCTGGTGGACTATCTATCTTCCAGACATTATAAAACTCATACCCACTAACTTCAGTTTGATTTGCTTGCTCCCCACTCAAGTTATGAACTATATGTATATAAATAAATATTTAGGGCGTATATAATAAACTGATATAGCGTAGTTTATATTTGACATATTCCTACACACTTTTGAATTGACTGCAGGATTTTATCATACAGCAGTCCAGCATTCACACTTAATGAATAACAGATTCAAGTCATTAAAATAATAAACAAAAAAATGCTAATTCCATTAGATGGCTAAATTTCATATGCAGAACAAAATCAATGTAGATTGTTTCCTGTATATATATATACATAAAATAACATTGTAATTTATCCAATTTGGATTGCGTTTTTGTTCAACAACTTTGGCACCTGATCAATGCTTGCAAATACATATATATATGCAAATATTTATAGGATCCCATATTGTAGTAAGATTTTGGCGACTTTTCCAAACTCGTTCAACCTTGAAAGTTAATGGTTCGTGACTTTCCAGAGTTAGACATGTATATTGAAAACATTTATCTAAAAGATACATTACTTGTCAGTTTAAAGAATAAAATTGAATCTACTTCATCATGAGAGTTGTAAGTTTTTAAAAGTATATAATGAATCACTTGATCTTAATCATTTTTTTATAATTGTTTGCGAAAGCAATCGATATTAATTTGGATATTTTGTTTTTATTCATGTATATTCAAAAATGTATCTGCAACTATTTCCATTGCGGTAATAACTACACTAATTAATTTATCAACCAGTTGTTGTGTGGGAAATCAATTTTTGAATATAGTCCGTAGGATTGAAAATATTGCTACACATAATAGGTTATGTTAGTAATGTTTAAAAAAAAAAAAAAATTTTTTTTTTAAAATATGTGGTCGTTGATACAAACGAGGTCAGTCTTCAAATAAGAAACAGTAGCTTGTCCCTGTTCTGTTATTTGTTAGATTTCAAGCAGTTAGACTAATGGGTACTCCTGAAGTATGCGCACCAAGATGTCGCACAACCTAAACCCTAACCTGGTACACAACCTGAGTTCAGGTTGTGCGCCATCTTGGTGCGCATACGTCAGCAGGTCTGGCTATAATGTTTGTTAATGTTGTAAACATATTTATACTTCAGCAATGATTACAACGAACATAGTGAGATAGACGTTGTTGTGATTTTACCATAATAAAAAAAAATCAAATTTAAACATTTGCGACACACCGTCATCGCAATATTCTTCTTCTACATATTTCTCTAGCTTTGTGGATTTTCATAACTCATGTTGTTGATTTTTTTCATTGAACGTATTATATCCACAAATAGAGAAGTCGGAAGTTCAAACAAAAACTCTTTAGAAAGTTTTCCGACTTGTCTTGTGCGATGTCTAAACACGTTAAAAGGTAAAACTCATGGCCACAAGTTAGCGCCAAAGGCATTTCATTATGTTTTATTTAAATAAGGGAATTCCCCTGTGTTTTGTTTAGATGCGTACTGTTTTGAAAGGTTTGAGCTCAAGCATTTTGATAAGAGAGTTCACATGAACATTATTTTTTCCTTGACAACAACTATGACTTGGTTTCACAGAAACCATGGAAAAATACCTAGTCAGTATATGAAAACGTGTGTAGTAATGTAGCTGAACAAAGCTATTATGAAATTTTATATATTGCCAGTCAAATATAACATTTTTTCAGATTGACAACGTTGTAATTGTTGGTGGATCTACAAGGATTCCAAAAATTCAGCAACTTTTGAAAAAACTTTTTGGTGGCAAAGTCATGGATAAGAAGATTAATGCTTATGAAGCTGTGGCGTATGGTGCAGGAGCTTTTGCAGCTAAACTGGCCGATGATACACAGTTTATGTCAGATGTAGGTATACCTATACATATCATTATTGTTGCAAATTTCCCTCTCAATTTACGTCTAAAACTGAGTATTGTTTTTTTTTATATACTCTTAGAGCTTTATTTTTTCACAAATACCACTTAAATGTACTTAATCGTTTATCCACTCATTTGCGATAAGTTTTATATTTACCCTGCTGGTCAGTGTCATTTCTTGCTATTTGGATATAAGCTCCTCTTTCCACTGAAACAGCTTGCTATTGAGAATAATATTTTCATGGCATTTCCCAATGCAACATAAAGGAAATCGGCAAGGATAAAAGCCAAGTTTGAAGAATGAATCGATCATTCTAATAATGCACACTGTTTCTGTCACCAAACCTATTTCTTCCATGAATTGCATGACATTATTTTCCCGTAATTAAGGTAGATCCAAAACACAGAAAATATAGCTATTCCACTGAGCGGTGCGGGCCAGTGTATCAGAAGACGCTAAGATCCAAATATCGAAACCTTGTGAGCAGTTCGAATTACTGCAAATATGAAAAAATTAAGTATATAAAAGATAGAACAAAATTTTTGCGGGATTGTTAAACTAAGAGAAACAAACATTTCTAACTCGAAAGGCGCGCACAGCAAGGACTGAATGAATACGCGCAATTTGGGAATTCTTTAAAGTGCTACAACAACATCTGGGCTAAGTGGGGACGTGCCAACGAACTTTATTGACAAATTTTCAGTACCTTGTCAGAATTCGTAATAAATACGGCACCATTTTAGTTTATAGAAATTGATCTTCGTGACGTGTTGTCGCTATCAATTGGATGGGAAAGTCTTGGGGGAGGAATGAATATCGTACTGCAACGAAATACCAAAATACCCATCATTGAAACAGTCCATGGACTGACTACAGCCGAAGATAATCAGACATCAGTGTCGTTTATAGTAAGAGTTTTTTTTCTATTATTCTTAAATATAGTTATAAAACAATTTTGAAATTATTCTGTAATAGTTTTGTTTCGCATTTTTCCTTTATATAAGCAACGTAACTTCCAATAAGAATCGAAATAAGCTATAATATTTGACAGCATAAAACATATTTTACAGCTATTTGTTTTTTTAAAGATTCACGAAGGGGAGAGAGCACGTGTTAAAGATAATCATTTCCTTGGGAGTTTCATTGTTGATAATATTCCACCGAAGCCGAGAGGCGAAGAGAAGTGTTCGTTATGCTTCGCAATTGATGAAAGTGGAATACTTACTGTGAGCGCCCGTAACATCAGTAGTGGCGAAGAAAATCAAATTGTAATTTCGAACAACAGAGCAAGATTAAGTGCAAAAGAAATTGATAGAATGGTATGTCACTAGTTTGCTAATTTATTGCCTATTTCAAGTTTATATTTAAAGTGACGTATTGAGTTGTTTAGTTTGTACTTGTTATTGGTAATTGTTTTTGGTTAGAATTACTAGTTTCTGTGCTACTAATGCTACTAACAAAAAAAGGAAGCAGAAAAACTTAGAAAAGAGGATGAAGAGTGGAAAGCACGAAATAGAGCTCGAAATGATCTTGAAGATTTTGTATATGCAATCAAGCATTCAGTCGACGATCCTGATCTCATACACGAAATGCTAATGCACGACAAAAAACTCATGCTTGAAAAATGCACGGAAATATTGGAATGGACTAATATAAAAGAAGTAAAATTTTATTTTGTATAAAATATGGATTTTTTCAAATCTTTAAATATATATTAATTATGCTTTATCTTTGTGATCATTAAAAAGAACAAAATTTTGTTTTATAGTATCTAACTTACCTCATGTTTTTAAATAAATGACATAAAAACATTTAGTGACTCCTTATATCTATTTATTACTTGTTTTTAGAATCCAGAAATTAGTGAATCCAACGGGATGAAGGAAAAACTCAAAAACATCTGCCGTCCAACTATTTGCCAAGTTACCTGGTGGACTATCTATCTTCCAGACATTATAAAACTCATACCCACTAACTTCAGTTTGATTTGCTTGCTCCCCACTCAAGTTATGAACTATATGTATATAAATAAATATTTAGGGCGTATTTAATAAACTGATATAGCGTAGTTTATATTTGACATATTCCTACACACTTTTGAATTGACTGCAGGATTTTATCATACAGTAGTCCAGCATTCACACTTAATGAATAACAGATTCAAGTCATTAAAATAATAGACAAAAAAATGCTAATTCCATTAGATGGCTAAATTTCATATGCAGAACAAAATCAATGTAGATTGTTTCCTGTATATATATATATATATATATATACATAAAATAACATTGTAATTTATTCAATTCGGAATGCGTTTTTGTTCAACAACTTTGGCACCTGATCAATGCTTGCAAATACATATATATATGCAAATATTTATAGGATCCCATATTGTAGTAAGATTTTGGCGACTTTTCCAAACTCGTTCAACCTTGAAAGTTAATGGTTCGTGACTTTCCAGAGTTAGACATGTATATTGAAAACATTTATCTAAAAGATACATTACTTGTCAGTTTAAAGAATAAAATTGAATCTACTTAATCATGAGTTGTAAGTTTTTAAAAGTATATAATGAATCACTTGATCTTAATCAATTTTTTATATTTGTTTGCGAAAGCAATCGATATTAATTTGAATATTTTGTTTTTATTCATGTATATTCAAAAATATTTATGCAACTATTGTTATTGCGGTAATAACTACACTAATTAATTTATCAACCAGTTGTTGTGTGGGAAATCAATTTTTGAATATAGTCCGTAGGATTGAAAATATTGCTACACATCATACGTTATGTTAGTAATGTTTAGGAAAAAAAGTAAAAATTTGTTTAAAATATGTGGTCTTTGATACAAACGAGGTTAGTCTTCAAATAAGCATCAAATAAGTATAAACATATTTATACTTCAGCAATGATTACAACGAACATAGTGAGATAGACGTTGTTGTGATTTTACCATAATAAAAAAAAATCAAATTTAAACATTTGCGACACACCGTCATCGCAATATTCTTCTTCTACATATTTCTCTAGCTTTGTGGATTTTCATAACTCATGTTGTTGATTTTTTTCATTGAACGTATTATATCCACAAATAGAGAAGTCGGAAGTTCAAACAAAAACTCTTTAGAAAGTTTTCCGACTTGTCTTGTGCGATGTCTAAACACGTTAAAAAGTAAAAGTCATGGTCACAAGTTAACGCCAAAGGCATTTCATTATGTTTTTTTTTTTCAAATAAAGGAATTCCCCTGTGTTTTGTTTTGATGCGTACTGTTCTGGAAGTTTTGAGCTCAAGCATTTAGATAAGAGAGTTCAGTTGAACACTATTTATTATGTTGGGATTATTTGTACTAATCGTAAATTCTTTTGATAAACTTAAATGAAGAGTGAACGATAGATGCCGATTTTGGTAGCTTGTGTAAAAAGGATAAAGTAAAATCTTATGTAAAAGTCATTTGCTCTTTGAGTTTACTGTTACAGTAGAAAGTCGGGACCAAAAACATTATTGGTTTATTTGTAAGTATTTACATTCAATTGCATTCCATACCATTGATAAATGCGTGGAACGTAATAGTGTATGAAATTATTAACGTGCGTACACTAAGCAAAGAAACCCATCGTCGTTAACTGGGCTTTCGGTCGGTGAAAGTAAATTTGGGTTTTTAAATTAAACACCCAATATCAATACACAAATATTTGCAGAAGACGATAAAATGGAATTCTTGATTTATCCGATTCAAAATTAATACATTAGTCTTGCACGTTATAAGAAATTGGGGAAGGGATCTTCGAATGCTTGTAAAAAGTAAAATAGGCAAGAAATAGTTGATGTATATACGAAACAATACACATGGTTTAGGTAAGCTCTAATTCTGGTTAAATTTAATAAGTTACATCTGGAATAGGCGCGGAACCCATGGAGAAGTACGAAGCCCACAGCTGTTCGGTCCAGCTTTAAATGAATAACGCCGCAAAAAACATTCATTTGTTATAATTACCTGAAAAATAGTTCAATTCCAAGTACACACATGCCGGAATGTATTATTGTATACGTGCATTGGCCGGTATGTATTTCGTTTGGTTAATTTAGTCGGGAGGGTATTATATTGAAACAATTTTTTCTTGTTAAATAGCCCGGACAAACTGAGAAGTGTTTTTATACATTTCTCTCGTTTATTTTCAAAAGATTATTATGTCGTTAAAAATGTGTATGCACCGTGAAAATAAAAGAATTTAGGTATTGCAACGTGCTTCCCGGAGCTTCGTCACATATCGCAATCGAGCTATTGATTTAAAAGCTCAAAGAAGCTGAATAAAATGAAACAATGTATAAAACATTGAAGCTTCCATTCAAACCAAATTCGCTGTCTATATGGCAACCCAATATGAATACGAATTAGACCGTTCAGAAGGCGACTGAGCCTATATTTTAAACTAAAAGACATTTCTCATTACAAGGTAAACAAAATTACACAGCATTATATTTATAATATCTTCAGGGATCTATAAGAATATCTATGTATGTCAAAACATTCGCTTCGTGTTGCATTCGTCAAATCAAAGTTACCTCGCACGTTGAATTTATTAAGTGAACTGTAGGAATCGTGGTCCTCAGGGACCCAATGTTTTTTATCGACTGTTGAAGTTAATGCTTACTAGCATGAATTTGGAAACGCGTTGCATACAGTATACATTTTAGCAATTCGCAGATATTTAATCACAAAAATATTAAACTTGGTGGTTTTCAACAGGGTTCCGCACCATCCTAGGGTTCCACCCGTACAGTTCAGGGGTTACGCAAGTTTCTAATCAAATCCTAGTATATATTATTATATGTATGATGTTCGAAAGTATATTTAAATACCCACTGAGTTTGCCGTTATAATTGAACTTGCTACGCAACTAATGATCATTTTCTTTTGAAATCATTAGGTTTCCTTATATAAATAATTTATTCAATTATTACAATAATAGACGGTTAACCAATTGGAAATGGTCATTTGGTAGAAATGAGAAGTTAAATTTGGTGGGTTGTTGAGATGAGGTTGCTTTAATTGTAAATGTTGAATTGTGATAAGATTCCTAGACGTTTCCTGTCACTTGATTTGTTATTATTCGCTGTTAGATTTAAAGTGCAATTATCGCATTGATTGATTGGTATATACATACATATAATTAGTACCATAGGTAGAGCATAGGAAAAGCTGACAGTGATATTCCCGTATATGTCGATGATTGGCATTTGCTCGCGGTTTTGTGGGTT